TTCCTACTGCCTCAATGTTAAATTATTGATGCAAGGCATTAAGAAGTTATTAGACTCTTTAGAATAGTTAAAACTCTAAAGCATTCATGTTAAAATGGATTTTTAAAAGAAATTCTGTAAAAAATCATTTGGTTTCTATTATATTTATGATTTCTAAACATTCCTGTGTTATAAAGGTTTATTGGCAATGCTCCTGCATCTTAATAAAATTCTACTTACATACAGAAAAATTCACTTCACATAAACCCAGAGTGTTTCGGCTCTATAGTTCTGATCCATTGCCCACTGAAGCCAGTAGAAATATCCATTGGCTTCAGTTGGCTTTGGATCAGTCTCTATGAAGGCTGAATCCCAGATGGGGAGATCCACTCTCAGACACAAGATGCTGGGCTTGTCATGCAGCCCCTCCATCTGCTATTCCAGGCCATGGGCTGGAACAGTGACCACAGCCCCTCTGTGCTGGTAACTCAGAGCATCGGGGACAACTGGATCTATGTAAGGGCCCAGTCCATATGCACATTCTTAACTTTAATCACATAAGAAGTCCACTGAATTCAGCATGCCAGCCCTCTGCCACAGATGTGAAGTTCATCCATAATACATATCCACAATTAATTTATATTCAGTGCATTATGTTTCATTCATCATTTTCTAAATTTTAACTCTTTTATTAGGCTGTGCTCACCTCACCAAGTCACTAGAAAATGTTGCAGATTTCAGTTTGTGTTTATGGTGCTATATAAAATACATTTATTAAATACTAAATAGCTACCCAGTGTATTTATTTAAGGAAAATTCCAAAGTGATGAGAATGCCACGAGAATACATTGTGTAGTGTTGACATAGACTCATTACAGCTTCCAGGAGATTACTGAACCTGAAATGCTTTGCAGTCTGTATGTATGGTCTCATCCTTGCACATCATAACCCCACAATCAGTTCAGTGGAAGTGGGTCTTGCCCACATGCTCAAAGTCTAACTGATCACCATATTTGAGGTCGGGAAGGAATTTTCCCTGGGGTCAGATTGGCAAAGATCCTGGGGTGGGGGGGTTGCCTTCCTCTGGATCATGGGGCATGGGTCACTTGCAGGTTTAAATGAGTGTAAATGGTGGATTCTCTGTAACTTGAAGTCTTTAAATCATGATTTGAGGACTTCAATAACTCAGCCAGAGGCTAAGGGTCTATTACAGGAGTGGATGGGTGAGGTTCTGTGGCTAGAAATGTGCAGGAGACAGACTAGATGATCATGATGGTCCCTTCTGGCCTTGAACTCTATGAATCTATGAGTTAGGTTAACACAGGATGCAGGTTTGGGCCTTTAGGGCCTGATTGAAAGACCACTGACATCAGTGAAAAGACCCGCCCTGAATTCAGTGGGCAATGGATTGGGTCTTAAGGTTGTGGCAGAATTGGGTTGTAGCAGAATTGGGTTCCCTCTAAAATACCAAACTTAACCCTCTGCTTCAAGTTGCTCTTTTCTAACTCTACCTTGCTAACTCAGGGTTGAAAACATAACCCTTCCCCTTTGTTTACACAGTTCACTGAGAAAATGTTAGTTCTTTACCAGCTCTAGGCCACATCACCCTCTACTTACTCCATAGTCTCCATTTTCTTAAACAGTGTGACAAATCCAGTGTATACCACCATGCAATCCCAGCAAAGTCTGTCTCTTCTGTTAGAAGCTTCCCTTTCTGAAGTAGGTTAGCTCTTATACTTGCCGTAGCCCTAAATAGTCACTTTTGTGTAGTTTGTTTGAACACCAAACACTTGAATCATAACTTTCCAGATGCCAGGTAGGTTTGTTATTGATACATCCCCTGACTTTGGGGGTGAGGGATGGAAGGAGAGGACTATCTCTCAAAGCAGTTCAAGTAAAATAAATATTGATCTGATGCTCTACTAAAATGTCCCAAACTCTGAGCTTTTGAGCACTGAAAAAAGTGAAGTTCATTTACTTTTTGCTTGCAGTTCTTGTGTAATAGTTCTCAATTTCAGCTGGAAAATAAAGCTAGAAACTAGAAATATTACAAGAAAGTCTTCTCTCATGGAACTAGAGATCATTAAAAATGAGGACTTTTTCATAAAGAAGAGTCTCTTTGTTTTCATCCAAATTTGAATTTCATCTACATTCTTCCTAACTATCCCCACCCCCAAAAAGTCAGAGAATTTTTACTAGCTCTACATGAAACTATCAGCAGAATTAACCAGAAAGTTTTGGGTAAGTTTGGATAAACTTTGCATTTTTAGAGTCTTATCTGAACTGAACCTTTGGAAATTTACCCCACACCAATTATTTTAGCATCATCTAATTAGCCAAGGATACTAGATCTCTGTCCCAGTTCAACTCTAGCTTACAGACAAAATCTTTGAACCTTAGTATATTTTGAACACTTTTGTTATGTAATTGTGCACAAATATTTACATTCAGAACCAGCTGTTACAACAGATGCTCTGACACTTTTTCTACTGGCACACTTCTCATACCTCTACACAGACCTCAAAACTTATGTCATGTCTTTCACCCTCGCTCCCCTCGGTTTCTTCCACTGAAATCAGCCAATATAGTCACTTTGTAAGAGTGAGCCTCCCGTGTAATATTGTGGGGTTTTTTTTGCTTGTTTTGTTTCTTCCCCCCTCCAAAACCCCACAGGCTATCGTGCTACAATATGGCTGTCAAGATCATTGCGGATCATGAGCTAATTAAAATCAGCAATAGACTGTTTCCAAAAAAGCTTGTTTCTCTTGTGATTCATATGCATGGTGCTGAAGGGGCTTTAATAACCCAAAAGAAATAACTCCATCCAACAAGACACTATGAAACCACAAATACAATAAGAAGCAGAGTCCATTGAAAACCTTCTACAGTACAGCTTCTGCTTCCAAAACAGTCATTAGGAGAATGAATCTTGCAGTGAAACATAAGTTTATCAAAAAGATCTGTGTGCAAGCTAATTTGATCAGGCAGTTTCTAAAAAGTAGGCCAGAAGAGAAGAAAGATTACTTCTGGCTAAAATGGAACAAATTAAATTATAAGATGCTTAATACATTTATTCTCAATTTAATTGCATAACCTAATGTCAAGGTTATTATATTCTGCACAGTGTTCTCATCCTAACTCAAAACAGTAAAGCACAAGCTTGGTTTGCAGCTAATTTATTACAAATCCAACTGCAGACTCTTTTGGCCTATAAGATATGCACAGATTGTGATTGCTTTAACTCTATAACTCCAGCCACTGCCTGAACTGTGTACATTAATATAAAATTACACTTAAAAAATTACTTTGCGATCTCTCCTGGGTGATGAATTCTGATGAGACCTGAAGGGAGTATGACAATCAGCATCTCTCCCATTGAAGGTGAAGGGCAAAAGAAAAAAAGGAAAGCCTAGAGACAGTGCTAGCCAGGTGGCACAAGTGCATAGTGTAGCAGTAAAAGAGTGTATGATCAAACATAAAGTATCCAAAACTATCCACCCCCTTGTGCACTGAGCCCACCAAAACTGCAGACTCTTGCCCATTAGTGATCCAGGCTCTTCTGAGCTAGTTACAGGATCTGAATTTGGCCAGAACCTAAGTCATATTTTTAACTGTGTGTGTATAAGTAGGGCCCTACCAAATTCATGGCCATGAAATCACGTCACAGACCATGAAATCTGGTTTCCCCCTGTGAAATTTGGTCTTTTGTGTGCCTGTACACTATACTATACAGATTTCACGGGGGAGACCAGTGTTCCTCAAACTGGGGGTCCTGACCCAAAAGCGGGTTGCGGGGAGATTGCAAGGTTATTTTAGGGGGGTTGCGGTATTGCCACCCTTACTTCTGAGCTGCCTTCAGAGCTGGGTGGCCAGAGAGCAGCAGCTGTCGGCCGGGTGCCCAGCTCTGAAGGCAGCGCCCCAGCAGCAGCAGCACAGAAGCAAGGGTGGCAACGTCATACCCTGCCACCCTTACTTCTGCGCTGCTGCCTTCAGAGCTGGGCATCCAGAGAGTGGCGGCTGCTGACTGAGGGCCCAGCTCTGAAGGCAGCAGCACAGAAGTAAGGGTGGCAATACCGCACCATGCCCATGTGATGTAAGTTTGTGTTTGGGACAAAGGCTGTTCAAGTCACATGGTAGAGGATATAAAAAGGCAACTGCATCATCTCCATTTGGTCTTCAGTCTTGCTTCTCACCCCTGAAGTAACTTCTCTACAAACAGAAGCTTAGAACAAAGGACTGATAGACCCATCCAAGCTTTGTATGTGTTCCAAAGGGACTTTAGAAGCTAGAAAAATCACCAGTGCTCTAAGAACCTGATACATAGAACTTCAGAGTCCATATATGTATCTGATTGTTTTGACCATTTAACAACTCTCTTCTTGTTCTTTTCTTTTATAATAAACCTTTAGATTTAAATACCAAAGGATTGGCTGGCAGTGTGGCATTTTGGGTAAGATCCAAACTAATATTTATCTAGTAATGTGGCTGGTCCTTTGGGAATCAGAAGAACATTTAGTATAGTGAATAGAGTTTTAAGTAACTTCTCACTTTACTGGACCTATTTGCTGATTGGGAGCCAGAGACTGGAATGCAATAAAGGGGGGCTCTGTGATTTCTTTTTTCTAGCTTCTTTAGAACCAGTGTAGGGGATCAAGAGCACAGTTTTGTGGCTGGTCGGTGAGTCTAACTACAATGTTAACCATCAGTTTTGGGAGAATCTGCTTTCCTTTTTGCAGCCTGCCCTGCCCTTGGAATTTTCAATATGGGCTACCCTAGGCACCTTCAGTCACACCACTGTCCTACAGAAACTGATTTAACTCAAATGTATTCATTGTTCACTGCAAAGCAAATTAGCAGATGTAAAGCATAGATTTTTTTCCATCAGGCCCCATCCATGTTTTCAAGGGAACAGATCCCTGCTGACACAGCTATAGTGACAAGTTAAATTTGCAAGAATAGAGTGACAATAGTAAAGTGGGAAATTTTTGAAAAGGTAGATGAGGGGAAAAGTGAAAACTTACCCCAAACTCATCCCTCCACTGATGCGATTTTTGAAATGTCTCTGCTTTTGTTGCAAGGTTCTGAGGAAAAAGAAAAAGACATCAATTTGGTGTTTTCAATACTTGTCTTAATATAATGATGCTTGTAAACAATGGTCATTATAGGAATGCCTATTTTTCTAACCCACATAACAGCTAGCTGCATAACCGTATTAATATGACACTGAGGTGTAACAGGTGGTAGGCCAGTTTCAGTTTATAGTTTCTTAAATTTCTTATTTATTTATTTTTTGTGGGGACACTAAACTTATGAACAAATATGAGAGATCACTGTGAAGACTTTTAAAGATGCCCGTCTACAAGTGGGATGTACTCAATATATTGGACCCTCTGCTGCACATCCAGTTGAATCCCAGGGTGAAGATCAGGACACCTGTATAAAGCCCAAGAAATAATGCTTTACTCAGGTTGTTCACCTGCAGTGGTGTGTGAGAAACAGATAATGTGCAGTTTCTCCAGCCTGCGGGAATGACACTGGGCTTCAGAAAAGAGGCATTGCCATACTGGATATTAATGATCTTCCACCTCATCTCTTCTAGGCTGCTAGCTCAGCCTGTAGACTTGAACAGCAACTGCTATTTCAGTGAGGTTTCCAAGTCATTTTCATCTGCCTAATACCAATTACTATTACAAGCATTTATTTGTAACCCATCACGGTGGTGACATAGATATCACAAGACAGTCTGAGCTATTAGAGATCATGACATGATTAAGTTGCCTCCTTCATAGGCCCCACTTTGTGTTTCATCTCCTTTCCTGCCTAGTCACTGTAAAGCTTGTCTGTCTCACCAACAGAAGTTGGTCCAATAAAAGATATTACCACTCCCACCCTGTGTCTCTAATATCCTGGGACCAACACAGCCATCACAACCCTGCATATTCACTGTAAAGTAATTTGCATGTGAATTGCCCCTCTCTAAATCAAAGAATTCTTTCACCCAAAATTTCAGAAATCCAACACTGGTGGTAAAGCTCTCATCAACCCCATCTCTCTTTGGTGCTCAACTCACATATATTTACCTAACGGGTAAAGCTGAATTCCTAATCAAATCCATCAGGAAACACAACACGGGAGCCACAGTACTAGAGCAAGTCTCTGACCCTATCTCGTTTGTTGTCCTCCCTGTGGCCGTAACCAGTCCCTGATAAATCAGCAGGCTAGGACAATAAACTATTTATACAAACATAATGACCTTAGCCAATGTAATCAATGTATGACCACTGGGGCAGATCATTCTCTGTAGCATGAAGATTGACATCCCGTGTTACTTTTTAACCAAGACACTGTAGTTGTAACTGTTTATTCCTCATACATGTAAATATATTATTTTTTTTATCTCATTAAGTTATTTACTTCTTTCTTCTCCTTATTAAGTGATATTTCTATAGGTGGATATACACTCTCTTTATATATATTTAATGTATTTATTTAAATGTGTTGCCTTTCAATTTCATTATGCAGTAAGGGTCATGGTGAAGGAAGAATGTCTGTCCCTTCTGATTCTTCTTGTGTCAAAACATTATAATCCTTTTCATTTATTTTTCATTTTAAAAACCTCCTCATACATAATTCCCAAGCCTTTTCTGGTTCCCTCTCTTGACATTTCCCTTTTTTCGGCTATACTCTGAGATGAGTAACTACAAAATTAATACTCAATTGAGTAAAAGCATGCCATATATTTTAAAAATGCCATTATATTTTCTGCTGTTCCTTTTGCTCACCCACACATGGTAATCACTAGATAGACTGCCCTGAGCACATGCTGACCGTAACTACTCCAACTTTTTCTTGAGAGGTTCTAGCTAATTCATAATCAGTGTTTCTGAAAAAGTTTCTTTCCCTAACATGCATTCCCTTGCACTTATCACCATCAATTTAATCTGCCATTATGTTATCCAATCACTAAGATTTATTAGATCCTGGAAATAATGTGTTGGCGAGCATATGTTTCTGCATAAATTTTACCACCTAAATACTTACCTCACATTATAGGTGGGGCTAATAGCACCGCCTATTAATGTTGCCAGACACGTCCCACTATAAGGCCACAGTTTCAGTTGTTTATCATCTAAACAGCCATTTAACAGCCAGATTTTAACTGTTTGGGCTAAAAGTTTCCATGCCCAGGTTCCTGTCTCAGGCAGATACTTTCTTTTAAAGAATATGTCACCCAAAATGCTAAAGCCATTTCCAAGAATAAGCATAACTAGTTTTGCCCATATTAAAAAATTCTAGTGACCTTTTCTTTGAAAAGCTCTAATGTTCCCATGCTCAGAAATCTGACAGAAGAGTGGCCTTTTCCCAACCCTATGAAAATCTGTCAATATATGGCCAAGTTACAAGCCTCTAGGAGGGAAGGGGGTGGGCAGTGTGGAGAAACAGTTCACACATGCTCAATAAAGACTGGCTAGAGCTGTGCGGCTAATACATTCTGATGATTCCATCTGCACCAAGCATGCTCCAGGCCAGGGCTAAGCAGGAAATTATCTGCAATTACAGCTCTGGGCTGCTACAAGCTGGGTGGGGACAGGCTGGCACCAGAACTAAAAGCAGGGAGATTTTCTTTCCGGTGCTCTCAATCTCCCCATGCTGGTGTCCAGGCAGCAGGGAGGAGTAAGCTTCCTGATTGGAATGCACAGGTACCTACTGACATTTCCTACGTTTTGAGGACTCGACTTTGCAGCCTTAATAGCGTTCTTTTAATGTAACTTTGGTTTGGGTTTTTTGTGTGTATTTGTTTGGGGTTGGGGTGAGGGTGAGACAGAGATATAGATATATATGTCTCATGAAATTCCTCGCACAATCTGTGGAGAATTCCCACTACGAACTGCTTTAGCACCCTCTCTTTAAATTCATCTTCAGACTTTGTAATGAAAGTCAGACGTCAGGGAAACAGCAAAGGAAGCACACAAGGATATCAACAAACACATTTCCGTATGTTTATTGCACAGAACACACCTTTCTAACAGGCCTTTGTTACAAGGAAAAGGTAATTCAAAGACCTATCCTTCATTTTAATATCCAACTCAGGCAAAACAGTGTAAAGGAGGTATGTTATTAGAGATATGTTGTTAGTGGGAAGAAATGGGGCTAGATGGCTCAGGGGATTGATAACAGGATTCTAAAACTCTCTGATTTTAGTAATCCATTTGAATCTAGTTAAGATCAATAGTGAATAAAATTAATTACCCTCTGATGACATCTTGGTCACTATGGGACAGATCCAAAGTCAGTTAAAGTCAATGGAAAGATCCCCATTGACTACAATAGGCTTTGGATCAAATCTTATGTGAAATGAATTGGTAGTGTCCATTTTATTGCCAGTTGACCGATAACAACAATAGTTTTATAATGTGTAAATCGTCGCTTTTGTTTGCAGTCTCAGCCAAGAGGCTGAGACCTGAATGATCACCATCCTGCTGGTGGTGCCTTTAGAAACGAGTTTGGCCACAGCGGTTGGTGGGAGGCTAAGGGCTTGGCTGCACATATGAGTTAGAGCGCATTAAAGGAGCCCCGGGCGCACTAGCTCACTACCTGTCCACACTGGCAAGGCACGCAGAGAGCTCTGACTCCGTGACTAGAGCGCTCCTGGTACTCTACCTCGGCAAGTGGAATAACATTTGGTGTGCCCCTGCTGGGGCACCGTGACACCAGTGTGGATGCCCAGTCTGTTAGTACACTCTAATCGGCCTCCAGAAGTGTCCCATAATGCCTGTTCTAGCCACTTTGGTCATCATTTTGAACTCTACTGCCCTGCCGTCAGGTGACCAACCGTCAGACCAGCCCTTTAAATTCTCTGGGAATTTTGACAATCCCCTTCCTGTTTGCTCAGCCAGGCGTGGAGTGCTCTCAGTGAATCTTTCCAGGTGACCATGCCTCCATGTACCAGGCGTTCCCCAGTATGGAGCAATGGCGAGGTGCTGGACGTCATCAGTATTTCGGGGAGGAAGCTGTCCAGTCCCAGCTGTGCTCCAGCCGTAGGAATTACAATACCTTTGTGCAGAAATCAAGGGACATGATGGAAAGGGACCATGACTGGGACACACTGCAGTACAGGATTAAAGTGAAGGAGCTGCAGAATGCCTACCACAAAGCCTGTGAGCAAACTGCCGCTCCGGTGCTGCCTCTGAGACCTGCCATTTCTACAAAGAGCTGGACACAATACTTGGGGGCGACCCCACGTCCATTCCGAGGACCACCATGGACACTTCAGAGCCCAGTGTAACAAGGCAGGAGGCGGAGGAGCAAAGCGGGAGTGAGGGTGCTGAGGCGGAGGAAGACACCCCGGAATCCGTAGATGCATGCAGCCAGGAGCTGTTCTCAAGATAGGAGTAAGGTAGCCAGTTGCGGCGGCCAGTGCTTGGGGAAGGACAAACACCAGAGGAGGTTCCCGGTAAGTGGCTTTTATTTTGGGAAGGAAGCTATACTGTGCAGGCTCTTGGGGCTAGGAAGGTTAGGGTTGCATGCATGCCTAGATGCAGAATAGGGCGTTGATGTGCTCTCTCACATCATGGTAATCGGCCTCAGTGATCTCTTCAAAGGTCTCATCCAGAACTTAGGCAATCCACTTGCACAGGTTTCTCGGGAGAGCACTGTGATCCTTGTCAAGGCTAACTTGTCTGCGCCACTGTGCCGTGAGGGGTGGGGGAACCCTTGCTGCACACAGGCAAGCTGCATATGGGCTGGGGCGGAAGCCACATTGCAGTAGAAGACTCTCCCTTGTTTCCCAGGTCACCCTCAGCAGCGAGATATCTTCCAGAACAAACTCCTGTGGAAAATGTGGGGACAGTGTTCAGTATAGGAGCCCCCTGCTGCTGTTGGCTCTCCCCAAGGCACAGAAACTCAGAGGACAGTATAGCCGTGAAACAATCAGTCATGCTTGACCCTGTGCTTACTCACCATTTTGGGGCTCCCATGGGTTATGTGCGCTCGCTTTGGGTTGGGCAAATTATGCTCTTGTGTAGACTGTGCTTGCCTTTAAGAATGGGAGAATCATTGCTCTGTCTGGGGTGAACAATGC